GTTGATTCACAGTTGAATCACCGGGTTTGAAACCAGATTGAAGGGGAGATATAAAGTCATTTTCATGAAGAAAGTTAAAGATATATTTAAACAAAATACGTTCAAAGACCTTTTCCATACAACAAAGAAGTGATATAGGACGATAGTTGTTTGGCAGAGAAGGGTCACCTTTCTTAAAAATTGGACAAACATTAGCATCTTTCCAAGATTGTGGGACTTTGCAGCAGCGAAGTGAATGGTTGAACAGGGAGCAAAGTGGATATTTAATTACGGAAGCTGTTTCACACAATATCCGATTGCTAATTTCATCAGGCCCTGACGCTTTATTAATATTTAGAGTATTGATAGCATCCTCAACATCTTGAGGTGTAACCGTGATTGAAGTGAGTGTGCGAACAGGCTGTACGTAGAAATCTTCTGGAGTTTCTTTATTAGAATTATCAAGAGAAGACTGACTGCAGAAAAATTTATTTAATATATCGGATTTTGATTTATTGTCAAATATCAGTCTGTTAGAGTCTGGACATGTCAGTGCGGGAATGATTTGTTTTTCAGTCGGAGATATAAATGATTTGATGACTCTCCACCAGTCTTTTTGTATAGTGTTATCAGATGTGAATGAATATGCCAGTTTCTTTATATGGTTTCGCTTGGCACTATGAATAAGTGAAACAATTTTGTTACGAAGTTGTTTGAATTTGTGCCAGTTCATAGGATTTTAGGTGCGTTTTGCTCTGTGGTAAAGTTTCTTACGTTTACGAATAAGTTGTTTAGTTTGTGACGTGATCCACACTGCATCATTTGGTCTAACTGTTATTGTTGTTGTTGGAATTCACTGCTCTGAGAGTTTAAGAATCTTGTTGTTTATTGTTGTTGTGTAAATGTTTATATCATTGTTAATATATTGTTCCCAGTCTGTTTGCATAATGTGATGTTTAAGGGTGTTGTAATCGCCTCGATCATACAACCATACAAAACGTTTGAAAATGCTTAGTTTTGGTCTAGAAAATGAAAAGATAGCAAAAATAGGACAATGGTAGCGTATGTTCTGATCTAGGACTGGTTCTGCAACACCGGAAGTAATAACTCGATGACTACAAGATACAAGAAAAAGGTCTAAGACCGAGGCTGATGTTTCGGTGAAGTGAGTAGGTTCATTAATTAGCTGTTCAAGGTGAAATTGTTGACATATAGAAAGAAGTTTGCGTGACAGAGTAGAATTTAATGGATTGAAATTAAAGTCTCCAGTGACGATGATGTCTGTTATATTTGTGTCTAATGCCATGTTAAGAGAATCCTCGATAAAAGTTGTGTAAAGTGCATCTGCATTGGGGGGTCGATAGAAGACACCGAACAGAATATGTTTTGTTTGGGAAAATATAATCTCAACCCATAGACATTCAATATTTCTTGGTTCGAGATCCAAACGGCGTTTGTAGAAAAGCGAATCTTTGATGTATAAGATTACTCCACCGTGACGGTCATCAATCCTATCCTTTCTTTCAGGAGTGTGAAAGCATGGTATCGAGACATCCGAATCAGAGATATTTGGATTAAGCCATGTTTCTGAAAAGGCAAGAATATCAAACATACTAAATTCAGTGGTAAGAACGTCTATTTTGTTCAACAGACTTTGTACATTGTAGTGAATGACAGATAAACAAGAATTTGATGACATTAGTCCTGTGAAGTCCTGAGACATAGACGATGAAGTGGATAGAGATAAAATTGAAGAATTAGGCGTCAACGGACCAGGATTTGGATGAATATCTCCCGACAGAATAAGAATAACAAACAACCATTGGATAATAATAATATTTTTTAGAGTTTTGACAAACAGATGAGTGAATACTAAGTTTTGAATATAACGCTCATGACATGGAAGGCATCGTCTGTATGGATATCTTATGTTGTTTTCTGCTTGATATCTTATATGTAAGGAAAATGAGTATGTTTGAAACATGTTAGATGCAATGTATAGGAGAGATAGCATGTTTAATAAAAGTGTGAATTTCCATGGACATGTGTAGGAGATCATGATAGTAGTACATGATAACTTGTTCATTATGTGATTGATGCTATGAGCAACAAGAAGCTAACTATCACAATCACACCTACACAAGTCGTGTCTTTTATCGGCCAATGCGTTCCGTTGAACATAATCCGAATAGATGTTAATATAGAGTAAGAATGAACATAAGAAGAAAAGGTGTATATGTAAAAGACAAATAGATGAAAAAACATTGTGTTAGAAATAAGATTTAAATAGAAGCTAAATGTGATTTGAATTTAATGCTGCCAATAATTAGACAATGATGAATACACTTATCTAGAAAATGAATATTATGAAGAATAGTCGTTTATGTTAAAACTTTCTTGAGTTAAAATATTTCAGATGTTAATGCTCAGGCCGTGTGTGTATAATAATCACAATATGATTACATAATTTTCACATAAAGATGATACAGTGGTGAACAAAGTCGTACTGATTTTAGACAAATACAAAGAAAATAAGATAAACTTACTATTATATACCTATTAACTTACAGTATCTGTTATCGCATCAATAAACAAAATATATATATTTTAATGTCTCCCAGAATATATACATAAATATATACATCTATTGAGTACAATACTTACTAATATACCTATTAACTTACTGTTATCGCATCAATAAACAAAAATATATATATATATATTAGTGTCTCCCAGAATATATACATAAATATATACATCTATTGAGTACAATACTTACTAATATACCTATTAACTTACTGTTAACGCATCAATAAACAAAAATTTATATATTATGATGTCTCCCAGAATATATACATAAATATATACACCTATTGAGAACAATACTTGTCATATTGACCCTTAACAGGCATACAGTATTAACAGTGTTAGCTATTGCAAGCATTTATAACACCAGTCACTAGGTCCAGGCACTATACAATAAACAAATTCTCTGCTACAAAAATAATGATAGTGCAAGTGCTTTGACGTTATAAAATAAGCAAATGACGTCTATACAGATTGTATAGAATATATAAACCGCAAAATTATATATTAAAAGAAATTCAAACTAACAAACACACAACAAAACCAACATTTTATAAGTTAATATGAAAATTATTCATAAAACTATTCGATTTATTTGGACAGTAGCGCTGTAATGTATGGGACCAGGTCAAGGGTATTTTTATCTATACTAATTGATATTGAATTGTTATTTCAAAATATTATCAAGAACTAGTGATCATTAGGACACTTATTATGCATTAATTTTATAGTTACTTTGTTTTAAAATGAATTTGAGGACCACATTCAATTTATTTACATGGTAATTATGGTCCCAAATAAATGTAGAATAGATCTTATATTTGATCAGAAAAAAACATATTTTATACACAGACAAAAAAGTTACAACTTCAGGGGCAAGACAAAATAAATTACTTGTTTACAGTCTAAATACTCATAAGTTGTTCATAAAATTAGAACAAGAGGCTTCTTAGTTAATGTGCAAATGAAAATAATGACAGACTATTTCAAATGAACATTTCATCAAATCCAGCATAATTTTGATATACATTTGTCAAAGTACATAATTAATAATAATAATAATAATAGTAAAATAATGGTCAATATGTATTTTTTGTTTGAACACTTTTTCATAGGGAACACTTTTTCATAGGCTTTTCAAACGAGCACTATTTCAGAAACTAGACCAGACTTAACAGTTCACTTGTACTCAAAACACATCAACTATTCGTCATGTCTAGACTGTTAATACATGTATATATAACCTGTGAGATAACGTGGACATCCATGTCACGTGATCATTATTTGTAGCGTGTGTAAATAGTATACTTCACACCGAAAGTTTTGCATACCCAGAGTAATGGCGCGGAAAATTACTTGTGTTTAGGTTTATCGTTATCGGCAGGAATGGGATTATCAGATTTTACAGACATTAAGTCATGTACATTGTTTATTCGATGTATCTTACGATTGGCATCCTTGACGATCACTGCCCCGTCGAATGTCCAGGCACTTAGTATGAAGTTATTCTTAACCAATTGTCTTGCCTGATAAAATAGCTTGGAACGTGTCCTAGTCAGGTCTTCATTGACAAAGATTCCGGAAAATCCTTGTGATTTAAGACCGATTTTCGACCTGTAGAATATGTTCCTTGCCCGGTAAGATGTGAATTTAACGATTATATCCCTGGGTTTGTCAGCGTATAATCTTGACCAGACATAATCAACCAATTTCAACGAAGTATATCTTACCAAACAGATATAACTCAACAACCAAAACAACTAATTACAACCAATAAACCCTGGTCAGTTAAGATCACCACAATAACATTCAAGCAACTAACAACAAATTCTCTTCTCAACAAAAAAAAACAACAAAAAAAACAAACGCTCTCCTAAACTGATGTAAAATCAGTCTCAAAACTCGCATATTTTCTGTTTATTCACATGTATAGAGAGTTTAATATTCGCACATTGAAATATGATACACTTCTACGATGTTCCGTTTGGACAGTCGTGATTTTTAATTTAGTCTGTTCTCTCGATGCACGATGGTACGATGGTGAAAATGCGATGGCACGATGGTGAAAACACGATGATACGATGATGATAGCGCGATGGTACGATGGTGAAAGCGCGATGGTACAATGGTGAAAACGCGATGGTACGATGGTGAAAACGCGATAGTACGATGGTGAAAGCGCGATGGAACGATGGTGAAAATGCAATTGTACGATGATGAAAACGCGATGGTACGATGGTGAAATCGCGATGGTGAAAAAGCGACGAACCATCGCGTTCTCACCATCGTACCATCGTGTTTACACCATTGTACCATCGTGCCATCGCGTTTTCACCATCGTACCATCGTGCACCGCGGGTACAGACTAACTAAAAAGTCACAATTGTCCAAACGGAACACCGTACACTTCAGTTTATCGCTGTAGGAACACATTAAAGTTACATTAAATAAATATGTAAAAAATATTTTGCAGTCGGCCTAAAAATCAAACATTCTACAGTTTCATTAACCTGTTTAATAGTTTTGTTGTAAATCTCATCAAATATTGTTCATAAATTCGGATTTTAAACGGGAAACCCAACGGTAACACTAAAGTTCGTATACGAATTTTAACATGCAAATGAAGACTATAATGAACTCGTGTATGCGCTACGTCACAATTTTATAGTTGCTATCCGGAACACAGCAAATGTGATATTTTCTTGTGCAAACTCACTTTAACCGTTTAAGCTTCACGGTGCACTAAACCTGGGGTTCAGTAAAAGTAATCATCTCGTAAAAAGATTAAATTTGTATGAAAACATCCGTTATAATGCGGAAATATACCGTTAAATTAGGACTGCCACTTATAGTCATGTTTGTTGATTTAATATTGATGTACGGATGATCCGAAGGCGGAGTTTCTCATGCAAACAGAAATTGTAATTCCCATTTCGCCACAATGAGGTTACCTATTTTTATGCTAATAAAACTAATTTTGGTTGTTTGGACACCAAAATAAGACGTGGAGTCGATATAAAACCCAATTTATTAATGAAATGTCGCTATTTAGTTTTTTATGAAATTTATTAAATGTAACTTTAACTCTTTGTAAAGAAAAATTATCTACAGTGAAACTGTATGATTATTCTGACAGTAAAGGTTTATATTCCTTATAACTAGACCTATTTCTTTACACACCTGTTTTCAACTTGGCTCATTAACATTCAATTTGGGAAAGATTGAAATATTTAAAAGATTGGACAATGCCTTCAATGAAAGAATTCAATGAGGGTAAGTGTATATATAACAATTATTATTTCAACCAGCTTTATTTTTTACTTTTCTGTGATTATGATTGATTTCAGTATAATTTTGTTCATTTTTCATTTATATTAGCTGAAATTTTATAAATTATTTAATCTAAAGTGAAAATATTTTGGAAATGATGGACCTACATTTACAGTTGCTGTTTCATATTTCACAAAAATAATTCAACGACATTTATAAGTTAAACTGTTCAATGTATAAATTATTTAATCTTAGGGGAACATTTATGTAAATGATGGAAGACCTACTTTTACAGTTGTTGCTTCATATTTTACAAAAATAATTCGACGACATTTATAAGTCAAACTGTTCAATGTATAAATTATTTAATTTAAGGGGAAAATTTATGTAAATGAATACTTACTTTAAAAGTTTCTGTTTCACATTTTCATTTTTGTAAAATGTTGAAAATAATTACAACTGTACAAATAATCAGCAAGTACAATAGAATTTAATATTAGAATTTAAAGTAAAAATTGTATACAGAAGGTACACTCACTCATGTGTTATAATTGAACTGGTAATCATGCATTTTTACCAAATCATCGTAATTTAAATAACAAAAATATATAATCGATTATTGTTTGTCAATATTAGTTTTCGGGATGATGTTTGCTTGTTTTCGTAATTCATAACGATTTACCCATTAATTTTTAATCACAATACTTTCATTTTCATTTGCCGATAGCCCAGTGGTAAGTAGGATAGTATTGCAATCGCGAGGGTGCAGGGTCGAATCCTGTTACATTTCCATCACTACCGGTATTTTTTTTTATTTGCATGCAGCATTAGTGGAGAAATCATTTGATTATTTACGGGTTTATTTATTTAATATATGTATCTATTTATTTCTAAACTTTGATATACATGCCTATGTAATTCTTCATAATTTCAATATGTAATGTCGTACAATGGTTGACTTGCACAAACATAGTAAACAAGTAAAAATGTATTATGATGAAAACAAGTTAAATGTTGATGCTGCACAAAACAAAGACGCCGCAAAATGATGTGAACAGTCACAGGTAATGTACAAAATCAGCAAATTGCTCTCTGCAGTTGAATATCCGAAGCAGTAATCAATTTTTTGGTATGTGCTGCTTGTTTAATAAATGAAGACGAAAACAAACTTGAGAACAAAAGTGTGTTCCGGTGCCGGGAATCGAACCCGGGCCGCCGGGGTCTACAACCCTGATTCAGTATATACAGTATAGAAATAATGCATGCTAAAATAACCTAAGAAAATTAAGTTTGTAACATGTTTCATAACTTAAACTAAAATTTAATAACAACAAAAATACGTTTTTATTACATTATATCAATTTCGTAGACCCGATCTTAGTTCCGCTTTACACGGCCATTTGAGGTATTTTCTTACGTATGTATTTCGGCTCAAACTGCACTTTTTTTTAGATATTCTGAAATTTTGATTTGCTGCAAAATCATTCAAAGAATGCATAAATTTAGATTAACATAATCATTTAAACAGATAAATGCGCTATTTCAAAAATAAATCTTATTTTCGTAACCGCGAACTTGTTTTCGCTAAATAGCTTATTTTCGGTATCCAGCACGTGTGGTTTAAACACCTAAAAGGGTATTAGGGTTAAAAAAAATACCAAAATCCACCTAGCATACAGTGTCAAGAAATACTCCCCGACTGACCGAGGCATAATTAAATGATTGAATACTAAATTTAAGATTTTCAATTCAACCCCTTTTTATTATTTTCAAAATGCATGTTTACACTTATCCGTGTTTGTTGTAAAACATATTCTATATATCGTCGATAGAATGACCACTAAATAAAGATTGAAATGCATTACGGTAATTGAAGGAATTACGCTGATTATACCCTAATTTCCTCAACCGCATCTTTTCGGCCCATTCGGAACGGCCTCGGCTATTATGTATTATAATAACCTCGGAAACAATACGGATTGAAAGTAGTTTCAGATGTAAACAGAAAAAGAGACAAGTTTGCTTCTTTAAAAAGAAGCATGCGAGAGGTCTTTTTGCTGCTGTAGACGATTTGTTTAATTCGAAAATATTTTGGGATATTTTTGCATAAACGACACAATGAATGGTTATAAATTACAATTATTTCACAAAATAGAATTTATTATATATATTGAATATAGTATCATAATGAAAGTTTGTTTTACACTTCATTTTTTAAATGTTTTGAATGATTATATGCCGGAGAAATGGACTTTTTTCTCAGTTCATTAGGGGTACTTTTTGATAGTATCAAAATAAAAGTTTCTAATAAAATCCAATAAGCACATTTTCGGTTAATGTTTTAGTAAGTATATGGACACATTTCCTATACATTTTCCGAAACGGGCATAAAGTTTGTTAATCAAGCAATTTTAAGTCCCAGATTAACATGAAAAAATGTTTATAACATTTGATTGGAATAAACAGTATATAAAGTTGCAAGCCTACAACCACAATATTTGAGGAAAATCTTGAGTAAAGTTTGTGCTATTTGCGCCAAAAACTCTCCGTTGCGTTATTTAGTCATACCGGCTTAAATGTTTAATGGAGCAGCACGATTTCGGTACACGGTTCACTCGGTCATATAATAGTGCATGTGATATTGTACCTGTAATTTTCACTGCTACTATTTAATGGAACATGAAATAGTAAAACGCTATTCAGAAAACAATACGGTTATCGATTTATACAATATAAAAGATTAAACGGAATGAAACATCCACGTAGCGCTAAGTAACGTAAATGATATTTTCCGATTTTTCTATGTACCGATTTGTTCACTTGGATGCTAATTTTCGTTTAATTTCAGTCGTATTTTGAAACGGAGCATGCGCAAAACAATTTTTGTAGACTGCTCCTAATGATTTTACGCTTTAAATAACATTCGTTCACTACAATCAGATACGCAAAAATGGATGCCGCCAGCAATCAGTCTTAACACTGTGGAGAGGTCTTCAATAATGTAAAACGAATGCATAAATTTGACATCCAAAAAGAAAAGTAAAGTCTGGCCCGGTACACTTATGATTAAAAATATGTCTGAAAACAATTTGTAATTTAAATATGCCCACTGAAGTACAATTTTAAACAAATCCCACTAAATTTTAACAGGTTGGTTTTCTGTACTTTCGGTTTCTACAACTATATATAGAAATAATGTATTGTTTGCTTTTAATTTTTTGTAGCTATGAATTCACTTATTTTAGGTTGACTTTTACAAAAAAAACACAACTTCCAGCATTAAATTACTATTTGTTAACATGATCATTTTCTTAGCGTAGGTTAGAACCGTTCTGTGTATTCATACTATTGTGTTCGAGGTCCTTATCCGAACACTGACGGAAAGGGCCGAGTAGTTGCGATTGCTTTTCGGCCCTTTCTGTTGATATTGATAATAGCCGAGGATATTCCGCTAGTAATTTCCTACTTTAGAATATAGACTGGCTCATTGGTACGTTATTTTATTGTTAGATTATAAAAAAAAGATAAAAATAAAAAGAATGTGATATTTAACCTTGGAAGTATCACTTTTGTTGAACGTTTATTTAATTCCATGAAGCTCGGGAACATGTTGATCACCAGAAAAGCTATTTTTATCCGAAAATCTGAGAACTGTGTAATTTTGTTAGAACAAAAAAAAAAATAAACAAAAACAAGATTAAAATTTTCCCCATTGCTGACTGAACAAATGCATATCTACTAGACGCCGCGTGCACACTTAGACTATTGAGGCAAATTGTGTGTTACTTACTTTAAGTTATACATAGAAATGTATACAGTGATGTCATACTTTAAAATTCGTAAGACCTTTTGGGAATCCGATAATTACAGACAAAAGGTCAATGAATATTCAAATGTCCCAGGTCAATGTTGACAAAGAATACATTAAATTTATAAACACTTATAAACCAGAAGTTCATGGGAGGCAACTGAGAGTCTTAAATCCTGTAAAATGTATGATAATTGTTAGGTAACCGTCAAAATTTATTTAAAAAAAATACATCTTGTTACTAGTAAAGTTCTGTCACTTGTTTGTTTCATTTAAACCTTTTTAATAAGTCAATCATTACCTCTTGTAATGTAAGCAATTATTTAAGGTATTGCTATCCTAATGCATTAGCTCCGCTTTGAAGAGTATTTAAATAGGCTAGAACTACTGTTAACTACATTGCAAATGAGGGCCGTGGGTTCAATCCCCAGAAGGGTCAACTTTTTTTTTCTTTCTTTTTTTCTTTTAACATTATTTATATATCTCTCATGACCCATTTGGAATGAAAAAAGTGTTTAATTTTGATTTTTTAATTTATATAGTTATTTATTGGATAAATTATGCTAAATCTAGTAATAAATGTGGTACCTGATATTTTCAAAGTGTAATAAAATCAAAACTAGACGGTAAAAGTATTTCATATTTTACAAGATCAACCAATATACTTCTTTAAAAATTTAGGGAAACTTTGAAAACAGGCACTCATTTGGGAAAATTTTAAGGATTTTTTAAATTAGGCTCCCTAAGTAGGAAAATGGTCAGACACGTGGTAAAAATGGGTGGGGTAGGGTAACATTTTTATACAGAATTCATAAATTTTAAGTAGACACCATAATTTTGCTTATGTGGATTTTTAGCTGAATGGTATTTTTTGTTTCTTACAAAAAATTAATGGGAAAACATTTTTCATTAGAATGTTATTGCATATTATTTAAAGGTTCCTCATTTCTAAAAAAAGGGCCCTAAAAACATCCTTGCTTGAGTTCCGAAAAGTGGCCATAACTTGATTTCCGTATGGTAAACTTTGATTAAATTTTGCATACAGGTGTACTTTAAGGTATATATCTGACCTATGATGTCATTTTTTAGTTCCTTATAGTGCCCATTAGGGTCGTAATACCTTAATATGAAATTGTATCATAGCTTGGGGACCTTTCTGTTGAAAATTTGTCAGAGTAAATCGTATACATATACATACACAGTGCATTAACTGGAGTACAGGTATTAGTTACCCTCACTCCAGAGCATGCCCATTGATTGGCTCATTTTTGCTGGGGTTTACTTATTGTGATGGAAGAGAAAGGGAAAGCGACAAAAATATCATATTCAGATGCTCGTTCATTGGTTACTTTTTCCCGGGGTTTCATATTGTGACAACAGGGAACGTGTTTTTATGTTTGACTATGATACAAAAGAGAAAGAACACCAAAACATTTGGCAATCTGATTAATAATCGGGGGCTACGCCCCCTCGTACAAATTAGATAGCCTCGTGTTTCGATGCTCTTTCTATTACTTAACGGCCTAGGGGCCAAGGATTATGAGACAGTAACTATCAATGATAATATACACACTGTAGCGTTACATCTAGGTTGTGCCATTGACAACACCACTATACTTCTCGCAAAAACTTAACTTCGGAACACTTTAACAAGTAAGTCATAGGATATTGATATCTTATTTAGGCAGAGCACAGCTAGGATGGACGTGAGGGTCTTACGGAATATATGCTAAATTTTTGTGTTACATGAGTGCTAATGCAATGTGATGTATCTTATGGTGTTATCATTGGATGTCCAGGCCCTATTCAAGCTGTCCTATCTTGTAGAAGAAAGACGAGCATATCCGTGTTATGGATTCATTGATAAAAATACCCTCGGATAGCCTTTGCTTTTCAATTCGACTCTAGCCTTATACATGACGTTTCTCGCTCTGCATGATTTGAATTTAACAATGATATCCCTGGGTTTGTTAGGCTTGCCAACTCTGTCATGACGAGACCTGCCAATGCCCTCTAGTAACAACATTTAATACTTTTCTTTCTAGATTCAACATCAGGAACACCACTGATTCGGTGTTTGTTAACTAACTGTAGAGTAAATTATTTTCAGCGTCTCTTTCTAAATTGTCTATGCGATCTTCCTGTCTATAACATGTTGTTGCATGTCATCATTTTCACTCTCCAGTTATTGAATTTTTTATTTCAAACCTGCTAGTACACCAGCAACGATAGCTTTCACCTGCTCATCAAGATTTACTAAATGTTTTTGTATTTCAGATCGTTAAAATTATTTTGCTATTGCAGTTATATCGACAGTTTGGAGAACTATGTTGGTTCTAATGGGGAAGTGAGGTCGCGTTACTTGTTGTCTTGTGCTGGTGTAGTACATCCATCTTTATTAACACGCATTGTCCCTAAACTTTAATTTTGTTAAGATAAGTGAGCAATAAAGTCAAGTTTTGAAATAGGGTTTCAAATACATGTCATATGTCTTATGACAACACCCGTATGTTGAATAATTTAAAGTAAATTTATCTATGGTGGAAGGTATGTAATGTAATTAATAATTATAATACAAACAATAAAACGTTGAAAGTAGACACTGACAAAATAACAAACCACGAAAGAATGGTATATATTGCTGTCGATTACAAGTGTGATATACATTATCTAAAGTAGCATTTTTATACTTCACAACATCAGGCGTCAAGTGCTGTGTGGCAGCTGTAAAAGGTTGCCCCGTACAGCTGTAAAAAGTTGCCCCGTACTTCACTTCAGTGTTGTTATATTTTTCTGGTCCTTCGGGATCATTGATGCCAGCACTATTAAGTGTTGAAAATTGAGTACCGCTCAAGCTGGTGCTAGGGGGCGTGAGGGATGTTGCACTTATTCATTATCCCTCATGTACAGACTCAATAAAACCAAGTCTGCAATTCTTATGTAATTTTGTTGTGATTAATGTTTCCGATTGATCACTTTGTTTCCAGATTTTTATTCAAATATCAGAAAATTAAATGGTCAATAACAAAATATAACTATTCATGACATAAATGTTAATGCTAAATCACTTAGAACTAAATCAACTTTTTCAAGTTATAATTTTATATAAGAATATTTAAATGATACATTACTACTTTTTTGTCAGTACATCAATACGATGATACAAACTTAATTTACTTAAGAACTGAAACGTTCATTCATGTCTTCAATATTGACATCATTTAAAAGGCCATTGCCCTTCAGAATGTTGCTGAAATACTTCTTGTGGCGTTCTAACCGGTAGGGGACTTTTGTAGTTTGCAATACATTTCTTGCTATATCTCTAATTAGGACCTCTTATTGTATTCGTACATGTGTGTTTTCTTTTTGCAGAGGCCGTGGCTGAATATGAGAAAAGACGTCTTCGAAACCAGGTAAATAAATGTGCTGACAATGTGTAAAATTCTTTCATTTTATTTTGGTTAAACGTGGAAAACAAACTTCAATATTCAATTTTTACAGACATAATACATTTCAGTCGGTAAGTCTTCCTAACATCACGCTTAAGTCAGAATTTGATCCTAATAATGTCTTCTTTTTTTCCTTTTTTTTGTAAATGTTTGGTAAAATAGTTTGCCAGCTATTATGTGCACATTCTGACTGATATTTTGCTATTCAGAGAATCACATTTGCAAGGTTGTTTTAACGTCTGAGAAATTTACTAGTTTTTTTTATTGGCAATAAGTCACAACTTGGGACTTACCATCATGCAGTGTGATACAGGCAAACCAACCCTCTTTCGATGAAAGTGT